AAAGATCTGCCGGCTCTCGGCTTGCTGCGGTCCGCGGGCCGGTTCTAATAATAAATCAATATCATTCCAGGGGCCACTGAAAACATTCTCGCGGGCCGGATTTGGCCCGCGGGCCGGCACTTTGACATATGTGCTCTACTGTATTTGTTCACTAATATACATGCACTTATTTTGAAACAAATTGTACTTTCCACCACTTATTGTAGTTAATTCAGTGTGTGTGTTGGTATGCTCTGCAATACTAAACCCCGAACTGGCTTGTGTGTTTGTTTTAAATAGCAACACACTGTAACCATCTAGTAAATTAAACAAGGAAAAGGAATATAACAGTAAACAAATGGCAACAATGGGGCCACCCAGAAATTCCTGTTGTTCTGTTTTTCTCTGAATAAGTTTATTTACGACAAAATGGCAAAAGGCGTGTTTTGAGTTCTTCTAATCAGGGTCGTTGTTGCACAATACTGGCAGCTGTTTTTGATTTTTGTCAACTCTTCAAAGGACTGTCGTGTCACAGTGTGACGCTCTGCCATTTATGTACCCTACACTGCGGTGTAGGGTACATAGAAAGGGGACAAAGTGTTTTGTTTTTTTGGGACCCTCCATAACTTTTGACTGTGCTAAAGCATAATACAGAAAAATACATGTACAATAAAACAAACCCTATTTACCTTGAACTATGAACTACTATGAACTCCGGTAAACTGCTGTCTCTATGGAATGTAGGACTTGTCGCTAAAATGGGAAGATCTGTGAAAGGTGAATGCTTTACAAAAATGCACGACATACATGTGTGTGACATTATCATTGTTTGTGTTCAGAGTATTACCCTAACTGTGAGGTGATGTTTATGGGAATGGCCAACATCCACGCCATCCGGAACAGTTTTCAAGCCTTGAGGACAGTCTGCAGTCAGATACCTGATCCAGGAAAGTAAGTCGACCCGTTTGACCTTTTGCTTTGAGTGTCTGCTGCGGTGTCCCCCTTCTCCCTCCCCCCTTTATGAATTGCTCTCACCCCCACCATAGAAAAGCTCCACCACAAGAGATGGAGAGGCTGCCTCGGGTCCAATCTCATTCCTGCTGAGTGGGCCAGCTGTCTGTCTGGTCACTCAGACATTGGAGCCATTTGTCATGTGTTTCTGTTTACCACAGTGTTCACTTGAGTCTTTTTGTGGCGGTGTGTACATGAAACTGTGATGTCGCATTGTTTTTCATTCAAGCTTGCTGAGATTGTTTTGGCATCGAATGACGCAGGAGGGCTTCCATATACTTTACGTAGGGGCAGCAGTGCTGCCTTTCTCCTTAAGTCAGTCTAGTACAGATGTGAGGAAACTTTTGCAATTTTATTGAATAAAATATAGCATTCTTATTTTTCGTATTTATGTACAATCTGTTATTGAACTGAGTTCATTTGGAAAAAAAATTGTCTCTTATGTTATATTTTATTGATGACCCAGTTTTAAAATACGAACCCTTTTTCCATGCGATATATGAAGGGATAGATTGTAATCAACCAATTTGCTGGAAAAACTAAATTAATGCCAGAAGTATTTAATGCTTATGGGCATGATTAAAAACGGCCATATGTGGCCCCTGGGTCATTTTTTGCCAACCCCTGGTCTAATTTACCCGATTGGCCGCATCTATTCAATGTCTTGTCTCCGGGAGTTTAACTTGTGACAGTCCATATGTTGGTTAAGGGGTCTCTTCTCTTAACGTGAGTCATCTCTTCTTTTTCCTAGCTGGCTTTCAGCTCTGGAAAGCACCCGTTGGCTGCAGCACCTGTCTGTAATGTTGAAAGCGGCCACCCTGGTGTGTTCCTCACTGGAGAGAGAAGGTCGTCCTGTCCTTGTGCACTGTTCAGATGGATGGGACCGTACACCCCAGATTGTTGCCCTGGCCAAAATCCTTTTGGATCCCTACTACAGAACACTTGAGGTGATGGTCTGCCCGGTGTACTTTTCTCCTTGACCACTGAAACAATACGACATGTGGTGTATGTAGATCAGTGGTCAGCAACCCTTTTGAAAGTGAGAGCTACTTCTTGGGTACTGATTACCAGGTTAATCGTATGATACACTTCTGAAATTACACATTTGCTCAAATTATACACACATATGTGAAGACGGTGCACCATCCATGATTTCTCATAATAATTAGGAAGCAGTTAGTCAATACGCGAGGCTTTAGTTCCATAAATGTCTGCAAGTGTTTACATCTTCTGATGGTTGCTTCGACAACATTTTTAGAAAATTATGTTCCATTATTGGTGAGTTATTTTTCAAACAGGCCTGCAGGCTACATATGTGACATGGTCATTATGTCGGTGACCCCTGATATAGATTGTTACATTTCTCCACATTATGATGTACTGACAACCATGTAATCCACAGGGTTTCCAGTTACTTGTCGAGACTGATTGGTTGGACTACGGTCACAAGTTTGGGGACCGCTGTGGCCACCAGGAGAACGCTGACGATGTTAGCGAGCAGTGTCCCGTCTTTCTGCAGTGGCTTGACTGTGTTCACCAGCTGCTCAAACAGTTCCCCTGCCTGTTTGAGTTCAATGAGGCCTTCTTGGTGGGTGGTCGTCATGCGCCGTTTTGCCTTTCTCATCATGGTCTGTTGTCATTAATATACAAAGAACTTGCTTGTCGTTTTTTGAGAGGACATGAACATTTTGTACAGTGTTAACAACACACTCATGCAGGTGTAATTCTTGGTTCTATTTCTTATGTCTTTTTATGCAGGTCAAGTTGGTGCAACATACGTACTCATGTCTATACGGTACCTTCCTTTGTAACAATGCTCGCGAGAGAGAGGCAAGGAACATTTACAAACGCACCTGCTCCGTCTGGTCCTTGCTTCGCGCAGGAAACAAGAACTTTCAGAACTTTCTCTACATCCCAAGCCATGACATGGTCAGTTTTTACAATTTTGTTAAATTTTTTCTCTGTAATGGACACCAGAACCTTTCTAAAATCACTTCTGTTTATGTTCTTTTCCATTTTACTGAGACACTAGCGCGTACCCGAAAGGTGTTACGATTCAGCCTACAAAATACCTACTTTCAGCTGGCAATCCATTCAGGCTGTTACAATTCTGCCTTTACAAAAACAATCTTCTTGGAGTTAGATCAATTGAACAGACTTACTTAAAGCTAGTTTCAGCACATGCTAAAGAAGTTAGCATTTCTTTGCTTCTTACACAGTGGTCGATTCTTAAGGTGATATACTGCCTCCTATTGGTCTTAATGTGGTTTATTTTCATTGTTTAACTTGAAGGTGCTGCAGCCTGTCTGTCACACGCGTGCATTACAACTGTGGACAGCAGTTTACCTCCCCACCTCCTCACCTTGCACTGCTGTGGACGAATCTATGGAACTCTACTTGTCCCCGAGTGTCACAGGGGATGAACTTGGCTCCCGTTCCCTTGACAGGTACATTTTGATGCGAATTTCACCTCTTGGATTCAATGTTACTTGCACAATTTTCCTTCACACTGTTATTTATGAAAGCAGAGTTTCTAAAACATTTTCGGCTCCCTATGAATGTGGTTTCTCCTTGGGATGCAAACTTAGAAAACATTCTCAATGAACATCTATAAATTAAGAAATGATAAAGAAAGAGATTCTGGTTATATGAGGGCTCCCAGCTTACAGCAGTTCTTTTCCTACAGCGGCAACATATACCGAATTTTTAACAAAATTGTAAGATGTCATAGTCAGTCAGTAACTTATGCTAAGGTAGTAAAGTATTTGTATTGAAAACATTTCTTGGCCATAAATATGAAACAGTCAAATGACGAACAAGAAGTATGGTCGTAACTGAGTAACTATATAAAGTAAAAGTATACTTAGCCATGTATTATGTCGATTTCTAGACTTACCAAGACCCGCTCCATGGACAACCTTCTGTCAACTTTTGAGAATGGGATGCCCCTAACACGGACATCCAGTGATCCCAATCTTAATAAGCATTGCCAGGAGGATCGCCCTGCCTTGGAGGCCACGCCCGCCCCTGACAGTACAGCTGCAGACGACTGCTCTGACGAGATGGCGTCTGACGATGGCGATGAGAAAATTCCACAGCTGAGTCCTACCAAGCCATCAGATGGCTCAGGTGCTGAATGTGGCGAAGATGCACCAGAGGAGCCGTGTCTCACCACTCAGCCCCTACCGCTTCCTCCTGTCCCCCTAGCTTCTGACATTATGCAGGCTCACACTCCATTTCTTGCTCCTGTCCTGCAGCAAGATTCTACACACACAACTGTCTCTCCCCCTCTTCCAACCCCTTTGCTGGAGGCCCCGAGACCCTGTAAGACTGCTGAGAGCACCACACCGGCCACTCCTAAATCAGAGCCGTGCTTACCACTGAGCCAGGACGCCATACCAGCGGCAGCCACCCTATTCGGCTCCCTGCTTGACAGCCAGGAAAGTTGCCTCTTGGAGTCTGATGACCTCATGACTCTGAAGCTTCTAAAGCCACTGGTTCCCATGGAGGACTCCACTGAGACTCTTACAGATCAAGGAGAACTTTCCCACGCCCTGCCTCACCCGCAGAGCAATGGTCTTACTCTGAATCATTTTGCGGATGAGGAGCAGCAAGGGGCGCATGTGTCAGCTGAGCCACGCAAAGAGGGGGTAACAGACCTTGTCAAAGGAAGAGATCAAATGTTACCTGCTGCAGCATCTCCAATGGACTGCATCCAGGGAGCCGCTCGCCATCTCATCTCCCAGAGTCCGCTCTCAGACATGTCACTTATGGGCCCCCATTGGGAGAGCGTTCAGGGCCTAATGCAGTCCGCTTGCGGCGGTGCCGCTCGCGGTGCCAGCCGCTCTCTGCAGTCTAACGCCTACCAGAGTCGCCGACTTGCCTATAAGCTTCTCCGCTCGCAAGGCTTTGCCCTCGCCAGCGGTTCCCAGTGCTGCCGCAAGGAGGCTCTTTGTTGTCCCAGCAGCCCCGTGCAGCCCGGATGGCCGTCTGCAGCAAGAAGCGTGGCAGGGTTCAACAGCCTGAATGCACCTGTGGTCAACAACTGCTCACTGGTGTGCCACCAGCTGCCAGCCGTATCATACCCTTCGCCCTCCCTCTCCTGCTCCCCTCTCCCGCCCCAAACTCCAGCGTACCTTGACGACGACGGGCTGCCGGTGCCCATGGACGCCGTGCAGCAAAGACTGCGTCAGATCGAGGCAGGCTACAAACAGGAAGTAGAGGTATTGCGTCAGCAGGTGCGACAGTTGCGGATGAGACTGGAGAGCAAACAATACAGCACCCCTCCCTCAGAGCCCGACATCGACTACGAGGACGATATCGTTAGTTTTTTTTCCTCCTCTTCGCACTTGAGCCAGACACCCTTATTTGTGAATGTTTCAAGAAAACCTCCTTTGTGTCTTGCTACGCTTTCAGACGTGTTTACGGGAATCAGACAACAGTCCCGAGGAAGACTCTCTGTCCACCCAGAGTGAAGACCGACTGTCTGAGGGCAGCTGGGATCGAGTGGAGAGCAAGGACACAGAGGTCGGCACCCATTTCAGTCCACACTTTCATGTCTTTTCTCACCTACCTTTCACTCTGTAATGGCTTTTAAGTCCCCTCTAATCATCTAAATGTATGTGTGTGTAGGTCACGAGGTGGGTGCCTGACCACATGGCCTCTCATTGTTTCAACTGTGACTGTGAGTTCTGGATAGCCAAGAGGCGTCACCACTGCAGGTGGGACTTCGCTATTTTTCCTTTCACACAAGCACACAAAAATGACTTCTTGTCAACAAAAAAAAAAGTACGTAACAAATCCCTATATGTTCTCTGATAAAATCAGTGGTGTGGTTTCCTTTTTTGTTTCAATTGTTTTCTTTCAGTACAGGAAAAATGACCCTGCCTAATGACATTATCCTTATAAGTTAAGTCTTCAATAGATGAAAGCCCCATGTAATTGCGGTTTGGCATTTGTGTATTCATCAAAACACAGATTTGATTTTATATTTTAAACGTATTCCCCTATCTGCTGGGGGGGGGGGGAATAATCTTTTCGCTGTTTTGTGCTAAATCCATTAAACCTTTTCTTTGGTGGCACCTTAGTGTCAAAGAACTATGTTGAAGTGAGTTAATTTTCCCCATTTCGGCCAATTGTGCTTTGTCGACATCTTGTGGTGTCTTAAAAACCCACACAAACACGAGGAGGACATGCAGGCTCGGTACTGCTTGGCTGGAGCTGAGATTTGAACCTCAGTCAGAAGTGCTTACTGAAAGGTTGCCTCGGCAACCACGCTACAGACGCAAAAGTAAAATCCAAATCCACAGTCATAAACTGACAAGAGTAATAATAAATGAAGCAATGACAATTGCTTTTGAAGTGTGGTTCAACAGAATTATTTTAAAATCCCGACTGATTTAACAGGCCTGGACTTAAATGATGGCACCCTTAATTCATATGTATTTCTTTGTTGCACAACCTTTTGAGCCACTCACTGCAATCAAATGATTTTCGTCTCAAGTCCACAACAAACTAAGAGCAGTAAGAAAACACTTGACGATTTCTTTCCTTCACATGTGGGGTCCCATTCATTTTCAAATATGGTTGGGATATATTTTAAAATGTTACACGTGTACTCTGCGTTAAATGCTAAACAACGGGCAACGGACATGTTTGGGCCAACTAGTTGGAGCGGCCTTTCAATTTACAGAAAGTATTCTTTTTATGAATTCATTACATGAAACTCTGGGAAGTAGTGAAATACTTATTGAGCTGATGAAGGGCTTTCTTTGGCTAGGAAAAAGGAAGGGGCCTCTGAGTAAGCCGTTCTTTGTCACATAAGGGAATGCTATCTTAGGGGATATTTACAGTAAGAGAAGCAACAAGCAGGTATCGTAGCTTGTGCCAAACAATAAACAGCCTTTGACTGCAAGTCTTTCCTGACACATACACAAATAGTCGACATTGTTGGCACCTCGCTGTTGAGGAAAAGAAAAACCCTCAGCGGTTACAGAATAAACTTGAGTCTGACAAAAGTAACGATGAATTCAAATTTAGCAGACATTGCTTTTGAATTGTGGTTCACACACAATTATTTTTTAAAAATGTGAAACAATCCTGGACAAAAATTATTGTACCTGTAACTTATTATTATTATTATTATTTTGGTCTTCTCAACTGCACAACATACTACAAAAGACAATTTCTTTCCCTCGTGTAGGGTCTCACACATTTTAAAATTTGGTTAAAACATCTAAAAACAAAATGTGTGCGCTCTGCGTTCTGTGCTAAAAAACTGGCAACAAGATTTTTGGACCAATTCCTCTTTCCACTGAGAGGAAATTATTCTCTTGATGATCTTATTACATGGAACTCGGGAAGTCGTGGCATACTTATTCAACCGATTAAGTGGTTTCTTTGGCTCGGAAAAAGGAGGAGTCCTCTGTTTTCTCCAAAAGAAAAAGCCGTCCTTTGTTACATTGGGGGAACGCAGTTGGGACTTTTACAGTAAGAGAGGGTGCAGGGTGGGTATGGAAGCTTGTGCCAGATATTAAACATCCTTCGAAGTCTTTCCCGATACATACACGTGGAGAAAATTGTCGGTATCACTCTGTTGATGACAGAAAAGCCCCACAGTCGTCTCAGAAACATCTTGAATCTGACAAAAGTAAGGATTCACTGAAAATTAACCAATAAAAATCAGGTGGCTTTTTAAATTGTGGTTTCACAGAATTATTTTTTTTTAAATGGTGAAACAGGCCTGGGTAAAAGTCATGATACACTCGGCATATTTTGGTGTACGAACTTTTGGGGCAATCTGTCTTTCCAAATCACTTCTGCACCTCTCTTTGGGTATTTTGGCTTACTCTGAATGAGCAAACTACCCTAGTTATCGAAGGTGCTTTCTCCAAACCACGTTTCATCTTCTTCCACAGATATTCAGTAGGATTTAAATCAGGGCTCATCGAAGGCCTCTTCTTCAGTTCAGTTGTCCAATGTTTTGCTAGTAGCCATTCTTGAGTGTATTTTTTTAGCGATGTGTTTCGGGTCATTTTCCTGTTGCAAGACCCTTGACCTGTGTCAGAGACCAAACTTTCAGATTAATGAATTAAACCGTTTGAAATTCAACTTTTATTTTGAGGTGACCAATGTGATCTGATGATGACTGATGTTTTTTTAGTGTGTTACCCTCTCGTAAATCAAGGTACCATTATACTGCAAAAAATAAAATTAAACACAGCTACTTTTTGTCGCCTCTTTGTAGGAACTGCGGCAACGTGTTCTGTAAAGATTGTTGTCATCTCAAGCTCCCCATCCCGGACCAGCAGCTGTACGACCCGGTACTGGTGTGCAACACCTGCCACGACCAACTCCTCGAGTCCCGAACCCGCGAGATCCGCAGCCAGCAGTTCAAAAAGGCCATCGCCACAGCTTCAAGTTGAGGGGAGCGTCTCCTGTCGGGTCTTGTCCTTTTTTTGGACTCACGAGGTGTCGCCCCCAACCGGCTGTGGATCTTTGCTTCAATGGTGTTTGGGAGGTGATGAGGAGATGGTGTCTGAAAATGGGGGTGCACTGTGGTGGTAGGAGGCGGGGGAGTGGATGAGGGTATGTCCCAGGACAACCTCCTGGACAGAGGATATTTCGGCTTGCAGCACGATGGCACTCTCTTGTGGTGTACCCCTTTTTGAGCTCACCGTAAGTACCGAGAACCTGCACTCTCCATGTAGTTGCGGTCGTCACACTTGAGAGGGACAATCGGTCGGCAACTCCAAGCCTTTACCTGATCTACTGGAGGCTTTCTGCTTGGAAAAAAAAAAAGAATTGCTGCTATTGTATTTAAAAGTCTAATTTTGTATTCTTATTTTGTGCACCTGTAAATGTCGTTGTATATTGAAGGGAATCCTGAGACCAAACTTGAGCGAAAGGGAGAGATCTGCTGTCAACTTTGCCATTGTATCTTTGAATGTAAAACGGGCAATTGGATTGACCTCACGTGCGTGTGTGCATTCGGTGAGTCTCATTTGTGTTTTTCGAATTCAGTGTATGCACAGTCAATGCGGCCGAATATTCAGTGACGCTCTTGCAGCTACGTTTTGGTGTTGGAAGGCTCTGCGCGAGGCACACTAAAGCGACGCTGTCTGTGTGTGTTGGTATTTGAAGCGTGTTGGGGTGTGTTTTGGGGCACGGCATGATTCTGTGAGGTCCTTATAGAAAGTCATTGAGGGTATTTCTGGGAAATGACTGAGAATTTTCCAAGAGGGTCTGCCATACCTCTGACTGAAAGGCCCTCCAAAAGCCTCATTGTCCTCCTGATTGGCACTTCAAGGAAGAAAGACTGAACTAATGATTGACAGTTCTTTTGCTCAGTCGGAGAGGGCGGCCACAGTTCCTCCAATTTACAACATACTTGTTTGTGTCAACTGGGAGTTCAATTGTGCCATTTTTTTTTCCAATTTCAATTTTTTTCCTTTCCATAGATGGCAGCAGATTACTATTTGACTCCTCCTGTGTGTTCATGGTACAGATGTTTAGCTGCTAAAGTTTCACATATACTTCTAATGATTTCACTGGATGATCATATGTCACTATATTAGCTGACCTAATGATTTGGGTTTTTCTTCAGATGGCATTAACATCTCTTTTAGACAAATGCTCTGAACTGTAACATACATCGTGAAATCTGATCCATGGTGGTGGCAAATACCAGTCATTTAATTCATGAATAACTGTTGTGAAGAATTGCACATAAAAGTCAATTCCCAGTGGCGAAGATAAAAGATTATATGATGGATCTGTTTCCCAGCTTGTTTATTTTCCTTATATAAAAAAAGGTGCAAAATTTTTTCTACAATGATGGAACTCGGCTGCAAGTCACCACAGAGATGCAAAGGTACGTCATTGCGTAAAACCTGTCATATGTTCCAGTCTAATGATGTCACCGCAGAGCTTTAAGATTTAAAGAATTGGCAAAATGGACAAATGTAAATAAGACATATGAAAGTGTATGTCGTGATGTCTCATCTCTTGTATACATTTTACCAATTCAAATGCACTCATTGGCAAGACCAGAGCTGAATCAAATACTGCATTACCAATACTAGTATGCAGTTTTTTTTTTTCATTAAGCTGGTGGTTTGCTGTGGTGTAGAACTGCCCTTCATCAAGAAGGTATTTTTGCTTTTGATGTCAACATAATTTAAACGGCTCTCTATGTGAGGAATAGTGCAGTTACATAACCACAATAAACAATGCATCCCTCACCGCAAGATTACATTCGTATTTGTTTGTGCAGGTGCTCTTGATGTTGTGAATGGTGACCAAAAGTGCATCTCAATAAATTACAATAATGTGGAAAACTTAATTTCACTACTCTAATTCAAAAAGTAAAACTCGTATGCTGTGTAGAGTCACAAAGCATGGATAGAATTAAATAATCCCTGCTTTTGTTGAAAAAATGTATGCCTACAGCGCGCCGGCTTTCTTTTGGGAGTGGGTGTAATTTTCTCTTTGCCCACCAGATGACGCCCTTTCCACAGTAGTGTCATAAACTGGCGCCACCTGTGTGTTGGAACGTGGCCAGGGCACCTTCACCAAATCAAGACGTCATGGCATGATTCCTCATTTCTCATCCTCCCGAGTGTTCCTGAGTGAGTAAACTTCCTTATCAGAAGTCATGTCCACGCTGTCCACAAACGTGCAAAGTCATTCTGTACTACCAAGAACATTACAAAGGGAGGGCTCCCTCCCTGCGATACGCAATTATGTACAGTATTGTAATATCTCCCCCGCACGAAAGCATTTACACGGCGTCGCCCCCGAACACACACACACACACACACACACAGAACTTTAAACATAACCGGCATGAACCCAGCTTTTTAAGTGTACAGTACATTATCCTTTCTGAATAAGAACTTATCCACTGCACTCATAAAACTTGATTAATAATTCACGATGAGGGCACCCTAGGTAGCTGTTGTCATTGTCATAAATTAATTGTCTTGAGTTTTATTTGGAGTCATTGTGAAAGTATAATATAGCCGTATTGGTAATTAACTCCATACCTCACTTATCAGCCGCTTAATTGCATCACTTAACAACAATCTCACCGAGGTGTTCATTGATGGGAAGGAAGATGCCTGTCGAAGAGGGCGGGGCCAGCCTCTCCATTTCCTGCGTGGCATGCTGATGGATAAGTATAAGACCCCCCTGCAACAATGCGACCACGAACGAGTCATTGCGTTGCCTTCACCTCCGCCAACATGCAGCATCTCACCTTGGTGGCCGTCCTCCTGGCATCCTCCTGGAGCCTCTGCACTGGTGCTGCTGGTGAGCGAACCTGCATGCCCCATTCATGGCAATCAAGTGTTTATTTGGGCTTGTTTATTCATTGCCAGTTTACCTGATTTTAGTTTTTCCATTTGTTAAATATAACCCTTTTAATAGCCGTCTTTTTATGTAGGAATTCTCTTAATATATACAAATATATATTTCATTTGCATATTATTTACAGTGTCATTAATGCTTACTGTGAGCATATGTAATATAAAAATATATCAACAGATCCAGCATTTTGGGAAATCAATATATTTTTTCAACAGAATGAAAATTGATTGAGTGCATGAATTTCTTAAAAAAAAAAAAAAAAAAAAAATAACCCTTTTAATAGCCGTCTTTTTATGTAGGAATTCTCTTAATATATACAAATATATATTTCATTTGCATATTATTTACAGTGTCATTAATGCTTACTGTGAGCATATGTAATATAAAAATATATCAACAGATCCAGCATTTTGGGAAATCAATATATTTTTTCAACAGAATGAAAATTGATTGAGTGCATGAATTTCTTAAAAAAAAAAAAAAAAAAAAGACAGCCAACCAAAAGAGGAAAGGACCATATGAATGAATGAGTTTCCCTCTACAGTGGCGAGCCCATCTTGTGCCCACCGCACCTGTGCCGTCCATCTCTGTATTGTCCGTGCTTGCCACGCGCTGCCCGGCTGCGTGTCTCATCATGTCCCTGTCCTTTTCCCGTACCCTGGACCGAGCCGGTCCAGACACCCAATGAGGGGAGTCGGAGAGGGCGGCCACAGTTCCTCCAATTTACAACATACTTGTTTGTGTCAACTGGGAGTTCAATTGTGCCATTTTTTTTTCCAATTTCAATTTTTTTCCTTTCCATAGATGGCAGCAGATTACTATTTGACTCCTCCTGTGTGTTCATGGTACAGATGTTTAGCTGCTAAAGTTTCACATATACTTCTAATGATTTCACTGGATGATCATATGTCACTATATTAGCTGACCTAATGATTTGGGTTTTTCTTCAGATGGCATTAACATCTCTTTTAGACAAATGCTCTGAACTGTAACATACATCGTGAAATCTGATCCATGGTGGTGGCAAATACCAGTCATTTAATTCATGAATAACTGTTGTGAAGAATTGCACATAAAAGTCAATTCCCAGTGGCGAAGATAAAAGATTATATGATGGATCTGTTTCCCAGCTTGTTTATTTTCCTTATATAAAAAAAGGTGCAAAATTTTTTCTACAATGATGGAACTCGGCTGCAAGTCACCACAGAGATGCAAAGGTACGTCATTGCGTAAAACCTGTCATATGTTCCAGTCTAATGATGTCACCGCAGAGCTTTAAGATTTAAAGAATTGGCAAAATGGACAAATGTAAATAAGACATATGAAAGTGTATGTCGTGATGTCTCATCTCTTGTATACATTTTACCAATTCAAATGCACTCATTGGCAAGACCAGAGCTGAATCAAATACTGCATTACCAATACTAGTATGCAGTTTTTTTTTTTCATTAAGCTGGTGGTTTGCTGTGGTGTAGAACTGCCCTTCATCAAGAAGGTATTTTTGCTTTTGATGTCAACATAATTTAAACGGCTCTCTATGTGAGGAATAGTGCAGTTACATAACCACAATAAACAATGCATCCCTCACCGCAAGATTACATTCGTATTTGTTTGTGCAGGTGCTCTTGATGTTGTGAATGGTGACCAAAAGTGCATCTCAATAAATTACAATAATGTGGAAAACTTAATTTCACTACTCTAATTCAAAAAGTAAAACTCGTATGCTGTGTAGAGTCACAAAGCATGGATAGAATTAAATAATCCCTGCTTTTGTTGAAAAAATGTATGCCTACAGCGCGCCGGCTTTCTTTTGGGAGTGGGTGTAATTTTCTCTTTGCCCACCAGATGACGCCCTTTCCACAGTAGTGTCATAAACTGGCGCCACCTGTGTGTTGGAACGTGGCCAGGGCACCTTCACCAAATCAAGACGTCATGGCATGATTCCTCATTTCTCATCCTCCCGAGTGTTCCTGAGTGAGTAAACTTCCTTATCAGAAGTCATGTCCACGCTGTCCACAAACGTGCAAAGTCATTCTGTACTACCAAGAACATTACAAAGGGAGGGCTCCCTCCCTGCGATACGCAATTATGTACAGTATTGTAATATCTCCCCCGCACGAAAGCATTTACACGGCGTCGCCCCCGAACACACACACACACACACACACACAGAACTTTAAACATAACCGGCATGAACCCAGCTTTTTAAGTGTACAGTACATTATCCTTTCTGAATAAGAACTTATCCACTGCACTCATAAAACTTGATTAATAATTCACGATGAGGGCACCCTAGGTAGCTGTTGTCATTGTCATAAATTAATTGTCTTGAGTTTTATTTGGAGTCATTGTGAAAGTATAATATAGCCGTATTGGTAATTAACTCCATACCTCACTTATCAGCCGCTTAATTGCATCACTTAACAACAATCTCACCGAGGTGTTCATTGATGGGAAGGAAGATGCCTGTCGAAGAGGGCGGGGCCAGCCTCTCCATTTCCTGCGTGGCATGCTGATGGATAAGTATAAGACCCCCCTGCAACAATGCGACCACGAACGAGTCATTGCGTTGCCTTCACCTCCGCCAACATGCAGCATCTCACCTTGGTGGCCGTCCTCCTGGCATCCTCCTGGAGCCTCTGCACTGGTGCTGCTGGTGAGCGAACCTGCATGCCCCATTCATGGCAATCAAGTGTTTATTTGGGCTTGTTTATTCATTGCCAGTTTACCTGATTTTAGTTTTTCCATTTGTTAAATATAACCCTTTTAATAGCCGTCTTTTTATGTAGGAATTCTCTTAATATATACAAATATATATTTCATTTGCATATTATTTACAGTGTCATTAATGCTTACTGTGAGCATATGTAATATAAAAATATATCAACAGATCCAGCATTTTGGGAAATCAATATATTTTTTCAACAGAATGAAAATTGATTGAGTGCATGAATTTCTTAAAAAAAAAAAAAAGACAGCCAACCAAAAGAGGAAAGGACCATATGAATGAATGAGTTTCCCTCTACAGTGGCGAGCCCATCTTGTGCCCACCGCACCTGTGCCGTCCATCTCTGTATTGTCCGTGCTTGCCACGCGCTGCCCGGCTGCGTGTCTCATCATGTCCCTGTCCTTTTCCCGTACCCTGGACCGAGCCGGTCCAGACACCCAATGAGGGGAGAATCGGTCCTCAGATTCTCCCCTCACTCTCTCTCGACGCGCGCTCTCTTTTCGCTCTCTCTCGATGGTGCACCTGCGCATGAGCCAATGACGTGTGCTCCCTTTCTGCGGCAGAACCTTCTCACGGGGGTGCATTCCACCAAAGTCCATTTACTTTGGTACTCCAGCTCTAATGTACGAGGTGTAATCTGGTCATTTGATCGGGGGCAAAAAAAGTTAGAACTTAATATTTTATCAAGTCAGTTCACCGTAAATGCGCCATAAATGCGCTGTTTATTATTTTAAATTTGAAATCCAAATACACGGAGTTGGTATTAACGTTTTAACTGCGTTCAGCAATAACATTGTTTTACTATTGCAGTGTTATAGCTATTCTCCACAACACGCACGGTTATTGTAATTTGCAATGACGTACTAATTACCCTAATTTTTGGTTACTATGTGCCTCTTTCTAGTGCCAATCCTACAAGTGTTTCAGTTAATCTAATGCGAGCAGTTATACAAATGAAGAACAAATATTCTGTTACATTGTGTTCAAACCCGGACAAAAACGCATTATTGTAAAAACTCATGACTGGGCATACGGTTTGATGCTCCGAATGACTTTCGCATTTATTTATCTATGAATATATATTGTTTGTCGCTGTTATTGTAATCGATCATTTAGTGGTAAAACGATTATTTCCAAGATTGAGAGCGCAATGGTGAATTGCCCTCCTCGTTCGGGTGGGTGGAAAAAAAGGAAGGGGGAGGGACTCCGGCACGTGTTTCGTTTATTCTGTGTAAATAATAAAGTGAGTCGGCAGCGCTAATGCAGTCAATCTTGGTTAGATGCTACGTGAGAAAATCTGTAGTTCGTGTGGTGGATAGGACAATTCAGCAATTCAGTCTCCACGTCTGCCGTCTGAAGTTTCCCAACGCTACGTGAGACCGCAGGGGACCGGAAGTATTGTGTTGATGTTTTTTTTTTCCGAAGTATATCATGCGATGTTTTAATTAAACGCACAAGAAGGGGTGGGAGTGTGTGTGTGTGTGTGGGGGGGGGGGGGGGAATTAAATGTTTGCTCTTCCTGCCGTGTTCCTTTTGCCGGTTTTTTCCCCCCTCCAAGTTTCCTCGCAGATACAATGACAATGTGTTCATGTGGTTCTTCGACCTGACGCCCGGCACATTCGTAACGTCCTCTCATTGGCCGACAATTGTGCGGACAGCTATTTGATTGGCTGGACTCAAATAACTGTTGGAAGTCACTTTTTATAGAACACGCACAATGCGCTGAGCTTGATTGTAGTAAAGTATACGTAACCACTGCATTTACAAAAGTAAAGTTAGCTCCGTGTCGGTGATGGTGTAGTGATAAACTAGGTGGTTCCCACTCTGTGATGGTGTGAATGGCTGTTCGACTGACATGGCGACCAGTTCAGAGTGTCGTCTGCCCTCCGCCCAAAATCAGGTGGGATAAGCTCCAGCAAACCCCCTACCCCACTTCCGCGACTCTGTTCAGGATAAGCGGTGTTGAAAATGGATGGATTGTTGGAAAGTTAGTTCAAAACATGTCATTTATTGGGGTTGGAGAACTGAGCTGCTTCATTCCAAGCCACAAATATTCTTACCCCCATTCAAGTGAATAAAATGGATCAGGGAATCTTTGTACATAGATCAGGGAATGGGGAACTGGACAACTTTTTTTTTTTTTTAACAAACCCAATGAATTCTACAATAAACACTGACAAACATTCACACTTTTTGCATGAAAAACGGGAATCACATAAAACCGTGAAACATCCAAAGTAGTAATAATACAATGGGGGGGGGGGGAGATTCGCAAATATGCCACTCCACAGGTACATTCAATTATTTTGTTGTTTGCTTAAAGGGGATAGTGGATCTTTTATACTTGCATTGAAACATGTATTATCAAAAATGACGTATTTTTTAAAAAAAATCTCATTTGTATATGTTGGTCTATTTTTCTAAAAAAGAAAAAAAAGCCTAAAGCTGATGTTCCGGGGGAAAAAATTGAGGCAGTTTTGAAATGCGAGTCAAAAATATGTTTGGGACACAAAGCCATCTCGGATTGAAATGTGCCGTGGACCAATGTAATTCAAAGTAAAATAAACGGTATTGTAATAGTACAATCCAAAATAAAACATACAATAACACTTGCTGTCTTTGCCATATTAGTAAAATAAACAAACTCCAATCATTTCGAGTGGATAAGATCACAACCAGGAACTTGATAGGTTTGACGTGAATCACAATGCCTGCCACAGCACAAGTGCTGGTGGGAGTTTGTTTTTTAGCAACCGTTATTGTGCCTGCGCGAGAGGAAAAGGTCGACATGGCAATGACTTCCTTCTCCAATGCTTCATACAATTCTAGTAATAACAGAGCTGGAGTGCCTCTTGCAATTTTTTTTTCAATGGCATGCGTGTTTTTTTTTTTTTTATATATATAAATATTTTATTGCTCAGATAGCGGCAGATATTTATCTCAGAGTATATGGGAAGGCAACGTGCGCTCCGATTGTAAAATATTAATAAACTTCACCGACAAACCATGTGAGAACGTGTCCCCACTCATGTAAGAGATTCTATCTGTGTTTATTTCTGATAGGAAGGAAAGATATTTGAGAATATAAAAACAGATCCGGTGTGTTGGGCATTTGTATGGCTGGTTATAAGAACGGAGTTAAATATAGATGAGCACTTGACAGGTTAAGTGTCTTAAAATAATGAAATGTCCACATCATATTTCGTTTTCACTTTCTCTTTCAGACTGGTGTTATCAGTCCCAGTTCACCTGTGCGCAAGAATGCAATGGTAAACTTGATTTCAATACCTTTTATCACTTCAGAAAACGCCAAACTGAGAGCTTTTCGTCAGCTTTGAAGTGCCTTTGCGTTTCAGGGCCAGACAAGTGGAACCACGCAAACAGTGCCTGCGCTGGAAAATCCCAATCCCCCATCAACGTCGTCACCAGAAAGACCCTGAAAGATGAACGTCTGACTCCGTTTGAGTTCACAAACTACCAGCAGATCTTTCGAGGCACCATCAAGAATAATGGCCACTCGGGTGAGTGTCAAGTCAGTGGAGGGTGGGCGGGCGGGGGGTGGAGAGTCGAAGTCAGGATGGGGTGCTGACGCGTTTGTCTTCTCTAGTTCAAGTTGCAGTTCCTCACCTCAGCACCATTTCGGGAGGAGGACTGCCAAGCACCTACAAGGCCGTCCAGTTCCACCTGCATTGGGGCATCAATGGCGGGCCTGGTTCTGAACATACCATTGACGGGGAGCAGTACCCCATGGAGGTACCTTACCAATCATTTAAAAAAAAAAAAGGCTCTGTGCTGGCCATTTGTGTCCACCTCTCTTCATCATCGTCTTTTTTTTTTGTTTTTTTAAACCATGTTAGCTGTGTTTGCAAAAATTTCTTTTTGAAAATTCCGTTGATTGTTTGAGTTTACAGTTTCCAAATCTTGTACTCAATAACACTGGTCAACAGCAAATTTCATCAAAGATAGTTTGATGTGTCCTTCAATCTATTTTTAACGCTGATTAAAAAAAAAAAAATCTTTACTCGGGTTTTTGAGATATTTTCATTTTATGTTTGCTCAGCCAGCTGGACTTGAGCGATTACTTGTCAACTCACGGCTGAAGAAACTCAGTCTGGCGGCGGTTATAATGCAAATTAGGTATACAGGGGAAAATGCTGCCATCTTTTATTTTTGTTCAGAGAAAAAAAAAA